CAAACACTTCCCCTTTGCTCAGACCATCTAAAAATGTAGCAGACATTGTGAAATTTGATTTGTTTGTGGATCCCAAGAGTAAGAGCATTCTCCTACACAAAACATCATTGCTATAGATAAGAAAATAACAGTAATTTAATACTATCATTAAAGGTATAATTCATTATTAAACTCCTACAGTTACTCCCCAAATATATGTTATAACTATTTTTTAAACCCAAGATCCAATCAAGGATTATGCACTGCACTCCCTATCTCAGGGTATTAAGAGCCTTCTTACTGCCTCCTTCTGTTCTTTATGAGATAGAATAATTTGAGGAGTTCACTTGAAAGCTTCCATATTCTGGATTTTTTAATTTTCTCATGATTAAGTTCAAATTAAAAAAAAATTCTGAAGTTCCACAAAGGTGATGTTACCTACTTTCTATAGCATCATATCAGGAAATACATAATGTCAGGCCATCCAGCAAAAAGATATATAACCATGCAGATAAAATAATTTATTCAAATACATATTAAACACAGTGTTCTGATTGTACTCCCTTAGTGGAATATGTTCCCAGGACAAAAATACTGAAAAATTTTGGACTCCATTTTGTGGGTTTTCTTGTTAGTGGTTTTGGCTTGGTAATTGTTAAATTGTTTTGTATTATTGTAGGTCACTGTAGGACAAAGCAAATGAGAAAATGTATTATTTGTAGAAACATTTTTGAACCCATTTTCTCACTATTCGAGAAACGAAATACAAATAAGGAATGGCAGAAGGTTTTAAATTTGGATTAGAAGTATTAATAGGGACTCATGATTAAAAGAAAGTAGGAAAAGGGAAGGCTGAGTGGCTCAGTTGGTTAAGTGTCTGCCTTTGGCTCAGGTCATAGTCCCAGGGTCTGGGATCCATCCCTTTGTCAAGTTCCCTGGTCAGCAGGGAGTCTTCTCCCTCACCCTCTGCTCCCTGCCCCCCCACCCCCCCGCTTCATGCTGTCTCTCTCTCACACAAATAAGAAAGTAGGAAGGATGATACTGTAAAAACCAGTTAGCACACCTGTTTCTTAGTTATTCATTTCTAAATATCATTTCTCACTTCCAGTATCAGAATTCCTTGGAGAAATTGCTAATTTCAGGAAAAATACAGGTTGAGCCTAGAATAAAAGTATCCTTTTATGCCAGAGCAAGAAAGGGCTCACATATTAATGAAGTCATGTCAAAAGAACATGTGCTTATAGAAGTTGGTGTGAAGGGGATTTAGCTGGCCAAATTTGGATAATTAAAGTCTCAAATTAATCATGATGGCAACAGATTATAACATAATGAATAAAAATGTATGTATGAATATACAGTAATGTGCTCCCACCACCACCTAAAGGATAAAGGACAGGTTTTAAATTTTTTTTTAATAGAAGTTTGCCAGTTTTGATGGATTAAAGATTAAATTATTTGTTACTTTCTCCACTTAGAGGTGGGATAGTGAATCTGGGCTGGATACATGTGGTAGAAGGGATATAGTGACGATTCTGGGTCTAAACTTTAAGAAGGTAGGAAAGCTTCTGTTTCCTTATTCTTAGAACACTGGATCTGGCATGATCATGTTCCCTCTCAGAACCCAATCACCATGCAGTGAGAATCCAAACCCACAAGGAGATGCTAAATTTTGGGACACTGATCAATAGCCTCCACTGAATTGCCAGCCAATAGCCAACTCTAACTGCCAGCCATGTAAGTCAGCCATCTTGGAAGTCCCAGTTAAATCCAACTCCTACATGACTATACTCAATATCATGTGAAGCTAAAGAACCACCCAATTGATCCCTGTCAATGAACAAAATCATGACAGATAATAAAGTAGTTGTTTTAAGCCATTCCGTTTTGGTATGGTTTGTAATATAGCAGTAGATAACCAAGACGTGGCTAATACATGTAGAAGGAATATTAGCATAGGAAACCAACACTTTGTATATCCCAATATAATAATGGACTCAGGCAAGGATACTCAATAGATGCTAAAACTTTAGGGGAAAATTAGCATAACAGTAATATGTATTCTTATCTAAGTACTTGATATTTATGATCATTTATTCAATTGTTCTTTTAAATCTCAGGAGATTTGGGGCCTGGCTTATTCACTATTAACTATTATTTTTCACCCAGCCACACCTGAAAAGTGGTTGGATAGAATATTATGCAGTGATTGAGTCATGTATGGTGACGAGAGAGGCAGAGGCAGAAAGTCCTGATTGGCTATCATTGATCCTTTCTGTTGTCACTCATACAGGTCCAATTGGCAAAGAATACTCACGAGCTGAATTTCTCTGTTATCCAGTCCGCTTCTTGCCTGTTATGTTTGACTAATTATGGAATAGTAAATACCCAAATCAAACTTTTATGGTTAATTGGTGGGTTAATGAACCCACAGAAAGCACTTTAATTAATTCCCCTTGGGCTGACAAGAGAGATAGGACTGAATCTGAGCATTTGCATTGGAGATGTTCGAAATCTTGATTAATAGCACAGACATGACACCTCAGAAGAACTACAATCTGCACTCTATCTGAGGTTAGAATTTTCTTAAGATAATCAACTGCTGAATAGTTGTCAAGATGTGGATTTCATATGAGCAACACATAATTCATTTTGTCCACAACCTGACTTCTCTTCATTGGTACTCCAGTGTAATCAGCCATTCTGTCAATCTCCCAATCACCTAGACTTGAAGCTCAGCACATCATCTTTTACTCTTCCCTTTGCAAGTCAGTAATGAAAGGCAAGGATGTTAATTATTTACTGAGAACTGAGTATTGTGGATTTTACTATCTAATTTACTTAATTACTAATTTTATCCTGACAAAAATCCAGGTAAATATTATTAGTCCATTACATAAATGAGGAAAATAAGACTGAGGAAGATTAAGTGACTTGCCCATGCTTTCCCAATTTTATCAATCAACATTTAACAGGAAGTAATTTCTATTGAATATATGTATTTATGCATATATACTTATGCATACATATACACACATATACGTATTATACACACAGAGGGCAGAAAAACATGTTGTGTTATAAGTATACAACAAACAAAATCCAGAATGTGGGAAACTTTAAAGGTCAAATTGTCTAGCTTTTTCAATATATGTTTAATTGGAACAAGATCAGATAGTTCAATGAGTCTATAGAAAATCTGAGAAACTAGACTTGGCAAAAGAAAGCAATTAAGATTCTAAGGTGATAGATAGTACATTGGGCATTCTAACTTGGGAATTCTCAGTGCTGTGGCCACAGAATTCTTATTTACTCCCATTTAATTTTAAATTAAAACAGAGGGAAAGTGACACAAAACAAATGTATAGCATAAAGAGTTATAAGGTGAATACCTCACCTCCATTCCTAGAAATCCCCCCAGTGTTCCTCCTTCCCTCTGTGTCTCAATCCACTCACCCTTTCAAATATCATCACTACTTCATTTTATATTAATCATTTTCATGAATTTCTTTAAAATTTCACCTAAATGTGCATTTCTAGACACTATAGTTTGGTTTTTCTCATTTTAAAATACATACATAGGGCGCCTGGGTGGCTCAGTTGGTTAAGCGACTGCCTTCGGCTCAGGTCAAGATCCTGGAGTCCCTGGATCGAGTCCCGCATCGGGCTCCCTGCTCGGCAGGGAGTCTGCTTCTCCCTCTCCCACTCCCCGTTGTGTTCCCTCTCTCATTGTGTCTTTCTCTGTCAAATAAATAAATAAAATCTTAAAAAAAAAAAAAAATAAAATACATACATAATGTGATGAGCACTGGGTGTTATACACAACTAACGAATCATTGAACACTGCCTCAGAAACTAATGATGATGTACTATATGTTGGCTAACTGAATTTAAATTAAAAAAAAATTTAGTTGAAAAAAATAAAAATAAATAAAATATGTATGTATGAGTTTCTGTTTACAGGTTCCCTCTTCATCTCTATTTTCCTTAAGATTTCTTTGTTGAAGAAGTGGGTCCATTTGACCTGTAGAGTTTCTCAGTGTCTGGATTTTGCTGCTTGCATACTTTCAATATAGTGCAACATGCTGCTGTTGTTTAAATTAATCCCTTCTATACTACATTCTCTCTTTTCTTCCACAACGAAAACTCCTGTTTCTCAAGGGACACAAGGGACAGTGACATTAGAATATCACATAACTATCATTTACGTACCCAAATTACATGTAACACAGTCCACAGTAACAATACTACTGCTATTTTAAATACTAAAAAATATGAATGTTTTTGCATATGTTCTATTCACCAATTTATATTTTTTAAAGATAATCATATTGTATCTGTTTAACTGAGCCTATAGCCCTTCCTTACTATATTTTTGTCCTTTAATCTCAACTTGAAGGTAACCATGTTTAATGCTTACAATTCATACTCAACTTAAGTCTTTCTTTTTGGTTGATTGAAGCATGTATTCTAGTAAGTTCCTAAGGAATGGCTCATGGGAGTAAATCTCCCTGAGTACTTGCATGATGTAGTTTACACCTTTACACTTGAAAGTCAGTTTAGCTGGATATAAAATCTTTGGCTCATATTTTCTCTACTTAATATCTCTTATATTAAAATAAAATGTTATTCTATTTTCTTCAGGTATAGAACATTACTGTATAATTTTATTTCCTTTATAAGTCATGTCTTGCTTAGATACCTGGGGGTTTTATATTTCTTTAATGTCTAAAATTTTACTATTTTATAATTTGGTATTGGTCATTCAAATATCCTCAAGAATATGGTACAATTTTGATATGCAATCAAATCTTTTTTAATGTAATGCATTTTTAAAATTATAATTTAATATTTGTTTCTATTCTCTTATTTTGGTTTACTTTTTCAGAGTCTCCTATCACCTATAAGTTGTATTTTTGTATGTGTGCCTATTTTCCATATATGTTACCTCTTTGAATATTTTTATTACTGATTTTTCAAAAATTTCCTTTTGTTTTGTTTGTCTTATGTTCTTTATAATTTAGTCTTTGTATTTGTTCTCTGCTGCTGCTGCTGCATAACAAACTACAACAAAACTGAATGACTTAGAACAACAATAAACACTCTCACCATTTCTGACTCAGAGACTTAAAATGGTTGTGGTCATCTGAAGACTTGACTGAAGGCTAAAAGACGCACCTTCAAGGTAAGTAACACTTGTGGCTGGAGAGTTGGTGCGAGCTATTGGTAGGAGGCCTCAGCTCTCCTTTTTGGCCTTTCCATAGGGCTAAATGAACTCACCATATGGAAGATGGCTTCTCCCAGATCAGGAGATCCAAGAAGGCAAATGGAACATGCACTGCATTTTATGACCTAGCCTCAAAGATCACATGCCATCACTTCCATGGTACTCTACTGATCAGTCCTGTGTCAATGTAAAAAAATATAAAAAGGTTTAAATATTAGGAGACAAGGGTCACTGGAGGCTGGCTATCATATCTTTATGTGTAAAGTAATTTTTAAAATTTTTGGAAATACTTCTTGAGTTCTATTACCTGCTTTATGAGTTTTTCTAATTCTTTTTTTTTTTTTTTTTAGATTTTTATTTATTTATTTATTTGAGAGAGAGAATGAGAGAGAGAAATAGAGAGCACAGGAGGGGGGAGTGTCAGAGGGAGAAGCAGACTCCCTGCTAAGCAGGGAACCTGATGTGGGACTCGATCCTGGGACTCCAGGATCATGACCTGAGCTGAAGGCAGTCGCTTAACCAACTGAGCCACCCAGGCACCCGAGTTTTTCTAATTCTGACTTATATTGTTGCTAATGTCTTGTATCTGTTTCTTAATGTCTATTAGTGCTTTTCAATATAGATATTTACTGTTTTGATGTGTTCTTTGAGCAAGACTTTTTTAGGTGCTTTCATTATCTGTAAAAATGGTATTCTGTTTATTATTCTCTTTTCTCTTATGACCATTTTAAAATAAAATTTGACTTTGGTACTTCTCTATTGCTCATTTTACATGAAATTAGTTTTCCTAAGGTTTTAGAAGATGTGGTTCAGGGTAGCTATTATAACTCACAGAAATTTCTCTTCTCTTGTTTTCCTGGAGTATTCAAAAATATGATGGCTTGCTTTCTAAGATAGTGGCTTTGTTCTCCTCCCCAACTTTTATCTAGACCTCTTTTTGTTACATTTCTGCTCAATTTTGATTCGACTCCTAACAGTTTCTTCAAAGTGCAAGGCTCTTACCTGAAAGGGAGTCTAATGTTTAGAGGATATAGACTCTTCTAGTTCCTTTAGTATTTGCTGTATAATCTTTGTATTCATCCGCTATTAGACTGGACAAAACCCTGCCAGCTGCTGTTCTTAAATTGGCCCTCTATGCTTTCTAGTGAATACTTGTTCTTTTTGAGATTCTGCTGTTCTCAGGTCCATTAGATGCCTTGTTACTTCCCTCTGCTTTCTCATCTACAGAGATGGTCACTGCAGATCAAATGGTTATTGCTAGTTTGTCTTTACCCATTGTAATTTGGAGTTTAGGGGATGTCTCATCACCTATTTTTTTTTTTTTTTTTTTTTGAGAGATAGCACTTGAGAGAGAGATCACAAGCAGGGGTGGGGGATAGAAGGAGAAGCAGACTCCCCACTGAGCAGGGAGCCTGATTCAGGACTCGATCCCAGGACTCTGGGATCATGACCTAAGCCGAAGGCAGACACTTAACTGACTGAGCCACCCAGGTGCCCACCTATTTTTCTTTTTTAAATAGATTGCCTGTAGGATTTTAGTTTTGTTATCTAGTTGCCTTGTCTGTTTTTCAGTCTCTGAATATCAACATAAACTAGGCTGCCACCATCTACCATATTCCCAACCCCTCAATAGCTGCATTCTTAATGCAAATGCTGCTACCAGTAATACTTTTTCAAGTGCCCCTGAATATTTGTGTCACTTTCTCAGGGTTTATAATCCTGTCCTAGAGCCTCTAATTACCTGGTCTATGGGCTATGCTCATGTTCCAGCTACGAATGGTCACTGAGATGAAATATCTAGCCCTAAGTGTTGAGACTGCACTAAACACCCTAAGGCATGCATATGTCACACACACATGCCTCACTTTTCCATATTAAAAAATAGATGACTCTGATTCTCATTAGTTAGTGTCTTAGACTGTTGGGCTGCTATAAAAAATACCAGAGAGTGGGTGGCTTGTCAAGAAACTTCTCACAGTTCTGGAAGCTGGTAAGTCCAAGATGAAGGCACTGGCAGATTTGGTGTCTGGTGAAAACATAACATAGAAAGAATGAGAAAGCTCTCTGGGTTCTCTTTTTAAGGCCACTAATCATATTCCTGGGAACTCTACCCTCATGACCAAATCACCTCCCAAAAGCCCTACATCCTAATATGATCACACTGGGAGTTAAGATTTCAACATATGAATTTTAGGGGTACACATTAAGTTCATAATAGTATACTCAGATTAAGGCCCAGATTATTGGATTCCTCGTCCTCTAGGTCTTTATGATCCTGAATCAATATTTTAACAGCAGTGGACCACAATCTAAAGTTAAGCACTACCAACATATACTATATAAATAGAAGATGTAAGGGAAATTGGTTTAACATGTGAATATGTATTTTGACATACAACTGAATGTGCTTTTTAGCCAAATGCCAGATGGCTAAATTTTAAAAACAATAGTCAGCTGAAACTCACTATTTCCATCATAGAATGAACTTTTAGGATACAGGAACAAATCTTAAGTATTACCACAAATTTTATTACTGAACTTTTAGTATTAAAATTGTAGTGGTCAAATTTTGTTGGTTTGGTGTTACAGTGTAAGGACAACAGTTTCTCAGCTGGCAACAGCTAGATTCTTTCTATAATCGTTATACAGCACATTTGTGATTCTAAATAGATGTTCACTTTTCAGCTTTGGATTCATTAGGAACATGAATTTTTAGGAAAGGTAATTTGCTTTAACACTCATCTTTATTTCATATTCTTTATAGTCTTTAAGATACATGGATCAAAGATAATTTATAAAGGATCTGGTTGCACATGCAATTGGAACTATTTCTCCCTTTGAAACTTGAAGGTAGCAAATTTGACATTCTGCTATTAATTCATACTCGCCAGATGTTAAGAATTCCCAAAAAGGGATTTTTCATGACTCCTGGCCTTAATTCAATTAAATAATTTAAAATATATATACATATATAATTTAATTTTTGAAAGCTGATACATCAAAAATTATGTATTAAGTTAGGATATATTCTAATTTCTTTTACTTTTTCTTATAATATTAATTGTACCTTAAAGACTTCTGTTAGGGAAAACTATATATTATTTTGAACTAATACCTAATTCTCTTATTGTTTGTATTAAATGTCAAATTATTTCTCTATTTTTGAACTATCTAAAAGTTTTCAATAATTTTTCATTCATAAAATTAAGAACTTTTACTCTCCTTGTTAATTATGGCAACATTTTGCTCCTGTAATATTTTTTTCCTTGAAATGTGACAAAATGTTAACACACACCAGATCATTATTTTGAGATAACATATATTTGATAGTGAATATTTAAACATTAGGATTATATCCAGAATATTAACAGACCAAGTAATTTGTGTCAGTCATATTGCCATCCAAAAAATACTGAAAAATTAGACAAAATATATTATAAAAATATGCCTTGGAGACATGAGAAAATCAAAAAGGTAGTGACAAGTTAGAATCCAAGAGAGAGACCCAAAGAGGTGAGACTTAAATTTAGGTCCAATATTTCCCCCAATGGGTAATTACTGACTTTAAAAAGGATGTAAGAAGCCCACTCCTGGCAAGATGGTGGAGGAGTAGACCTAAATTTCATCTGGTCCCAGGAATTCAGCTGGATAGGGATCAAACCATTCTGAACACCTATGAACTCAACAGGAGATCGAAGAAAAGAATAGCAGCAACTCTCTGAACAGAAAAGCGACCACTTTCTGGAAGGTAGGACGTGCGGAGAAGTGAATCCGAGGCGATATTCGGGAGGATAGACGGCGGGGGAGGGGCCTCCGTCGGCCGCTTCTGGCAAGTGATAGAACCACGGAGCACAAAATCGGAACTTTTAAAAGTCTGCTCCGCCGAGGGCCGTCACTCTGGTGGCTAAGCGGGGGGTGGAACCCTCCGGGACAGTGTGGTCTCAGGACCCTCGGGGTCACAGAAAGACCGGGGGTGCCTGAGTGTGGCAGGGCTCCCAGGTAACGGAGCAGGGAAGCCGGCTGAAGAGGCGGAGCCCAGGCGCGGGGCCTCAGCTCGGGGTTGACATAAACCGTGATCCGCGGCACAGTCGGGCCGCTGCTCCTCCAGCAGGGACCCCACAAGCAGCGGATCTGGGGAGACTCACCTTCCTTCCCTGGGAGGAGCAGCATGGGAGCGCACCGCAGGAATCTGCTGGGTTTGGAGACTCCACACCGAGTCGGGTGCCAGAGATAGAAATGCTCGGTCACAGGCCGGGTAAGCACGGAGTGCGGCTGGGGACCAGGGAGACGGGAGTGATTGACTGCTTTTCTCTGGGGGCACACTGAGGGGTGGATATTGGGAGGCTGCCATTTTCAGTCTCATCCTTGAAAGCTTGCAGGGAACAAAAGCTCCCGAGAGCAAACCCGAGCAGATTACTTTGCCAGAGGCGGAATTGCCCCGCCCTTGCCTGGTCCAGGCTAAGACATTTGGGAACCATGGCAACAGGCCCCTCCCCAGAAGATCAGCGCGAACAGCCAGCCAAGACCCAAGTTTACCGATCAATGAGAACGGCAGAACTCCAGCGCTAGGGGAATACTGCACATAGAATTCATGGCTTTTATTCCCCTGATTCTTTAGTCTTTCAAAGTTAGTTAATTTTTTAAAAAAATAGAAAAAGAAAAAAAATTTTTAATTTTTCTTTTTCCCCTTTTCAACGAACATCTTATCAATCCCTTTTTTAAAAATCCTTTTTATTTTTCATTTTTAGAGTCATTCTATTCCTTCATAGTAGTTAACCTTCTTTTTGTTATATATATGTAAGTTTTCTCTTTAAAATTTTAGGATACAGTTTCTTGAACAGACCAAAATATACCCTAGATGTCTAGTGTAGGGCTTTGTTCTAGTCTCCTGCCTGATCACATTCTCTCTCTTTTTTTATTTCTCTTCTTTTTTCAACCAACTTATCAATTCCTTTTATAAAATCTTTTATAATTTTCATCTTTACAGTTATATTCCATCCCTTCATCGTATTTACCCTTATTTTTGTACATATAGAAGCTTTTCATTCTTTAAAATTTTGGGAGGCACTTTCTTCTAAAAGACCAAACTATGCCCAAAATCTAGGGTGTGGCACTGATCTATTCACCAGCCTGATCATATTTGATCATATTCATTTTTTTTTTCTTTTTTCTTTCTTTCCCTTTCTTTTCCCCTGGTTTCAGGTCTCTTCTGACTTGTTCAGCGTATATTTTTCTGGGGTCGTTGTTACCCTACAGCATTTTGTTCTCATTCAGT